AAAATGGAGACTGAACACAAATTGAAAATCTTGCATAGTGTCCATCTGTCTTACGGCCATTGATTTTTGCTCTAAACTTATGCTGTCTTTTAATATATTCTCAAGAACATCTATGATCACATTAAACATACTAATAAAGTGAGTAATTGTCTTTAGATGTGAGCCTCATCTAGTACCAGCTGGGCATGCCAAACTCATTTCTTGAAGCTGACCAGCTCCACCAGAAAGTTCCTCAATATTAAGCCTCTCCAGAATTTCAGAATGATAACTTGTTCGAAGAGCATCTACACGTTTACATGATGCATCGACCAAATTCACAATAATAGCAAGCATGTTAAATAAATCACTAAGCATAACATTCCTATGTGCCACAGAAACAACTGCCAACTGAAGCTGGTGAGCAAAGCAATGAACATACATAGCACAAGGGTTCTCTCTTAAAATTAAATCTTTTAAGCCATTGAACTCACCTGATATATTGCTTATCCATCCTAACCTTGACCTCTCAGGCTAGATATGCTCAACTCATGTGTAGAAAACATTGTATCAATGGCATCCTTTAGTGATCGGGCACAAGTATCAGCGATGTGGGAAATGCCCAACAAACGCTCCTTTACTTTCCCACTTTTGTCAACAAATTTCAAAACAACTGTCATTTGTTCTTTTATAGAATCATCACGAAACTCATCAACCAAAATTGAAAACAAAGAATTACCCATCTCATTGATCATAGACATTGTTGTCTCTACAACACAACAATTAACCAAATTTGTATGGATGTTTGGTGAAATCATTTGGTCATTTCCAGGAGCATTATTAAATAGTACTTCATTAATTTTCTTACGACGAGATGCATAAAAATTTAGTAGCTCAATTAGATTCCCTTTATTAAGAGACTTTTTCGATTCATCATGACCACGAGATAACAATCCTTGCATCACGAGGAATCTAGTACAGTCTAGCATCGCAGTCAACCTTGTCTTATAATTTTTTTGTTGACTAGTACTTTGGCTAGAAATAACATAGGAGATACTTTGCTTTTGATTCATCAAATTGGTACACTTTGCAAAAGCTTGATTATGAGCATTATAAATGAGCCCGACATTATCTTTCAATGTATTCTTGTGCTTCCAATCCCTAAAGCCGATCTTAGTGAATATATGACCACCCCTTTGACCCCCTCTATCAAGTTTGAACAAGTAGCAATGCAAACAACAAGTCGCATCACTTTCTATACTGTACTCCAACCAATAAAATTCAGAAAACCATTTTTTTCGAAAACACTTATTATCATTTCCTATCCGTCTTCTTGGAAAGTCATGTCCATGTGGTTGACAAGGACCTTTTTCCAAATATGACATCCTAACATCATCTCTAATATTATGATCATATGACTCGATAGGGGGCATTTTCCTGGATCAAATACAAGATCATCCACATTGAATTGAGCCCGAAACTTCTTTGTGTTGTTTAACAACTCGAGTGCTCAGCTAGAAGCAGTGGCGTGACTAGAAGCACAACTAGAACTAGGAGAACTAGGTATAGACTTTCGTTTCGATTGAAAAAATCGTTCCATAATCTGCAAAATGCCCCAACTTAATTTTCAATTACAATTGATTAAAAAATCAACAATTCAACAAAAAAAAAATCCCCAAGTGTTTTACAATACTGTTAACATAAATATCATTCAATAGTATAATAAGAATTAGGAAATATTATTTTTATCGTGGGTTTATGCGATTTTTCCCTATTTCTTTTCTCTTAACTCGAATTAATAGCCTATGATTTCATTTCGGATCATCACAAAAGATGTGTGGATCAACAATTATGAGCCTCAAACCAATTCAATCATTCATTCCAAACAAAATATTTATTGATTGAATCAGTGAAATATGCATGAATAATTTTATTTTTTCTAATAAATTGATTTAATAAACTACTTAATGGAGATTGAATTAAAAACTTCAATGGTTTATATCATTAGAATATTTTGCCCATGTTTGAGCCACATTCTAGGGGAAAAATGCATTATTCATGTCAAATCAATGGGAAATGTGTGATTAAAAAGTAAGAAAAATTTTAGATTTACGTGTAATATTATTTTACTGAAAAATATGTGGTTGAAATGATATTAAATCATTGTTAAAAAATATATTTTTTTGAAAATAATGTGGTCAAACAAGCCCTTTATTGGACTCTTTAATCCCAACTAATAAATTAATAAATAACAATGGACAAAAATAAGCATAAAAAAATGACACAATTCGTAATTTATTTATGCCATCCCATCCATATTATATCTTCACAAATCACAAATTGATATTATAAAGTAAATACCCAGCCTCAGCAATTTTTAAAACCATCTATTATCTATATATATCAGAGAAAGCCAAGCAAATATTGAAAAATTGTCCAACTTCACCACTCACTACTCACCAACAAAAAGTAAACTTCGAAACAAATAAAATTTGGCAATTGATATGAAATATTAAAAATTGGTTGCAAATTAACAAGTGACATAGAGAAATAGAGAATTATGTATTTATTCAAAAACAGGTAAAAAAACCTATAATAATACCGATTTTGACGGGAAGGAAACCGAAAAAGGGACTGATTCGGGATGGGAAACGAAAGCTTGTTGTTCGCTGCTGCTACGGGCTGCCTGCTGGTGCTGGAGTACTGGTCACTGGTCAGCTGGTAGGTCCTCCCCGACTCCAAGTCTCCGTCTGTGAAGTGCAAAGTGCGAAGTGCCCTAGTTTGTTGGCGGTAGTGGACTAGTCAGTAATGTTTAGGCCTTTAGTTTAGGGAATAATCTGGTTATATGGTAATGGATTGGAGAATGCTTGAGCCTAATTTTAAAAAAAAAAAAATAGAGGCCCAAAAACATTTGAAACTGCCGACACAACAGTGGCAGCTGCGGCACAGGCCCACAACCAAGAAAATGTCTACATCTGAAAACAAACCAGTCAATCCACTGTCCACTCCCGACGACCAGCGGTCGACAATTCCGACGAAGCCAACTAGGACGGTCGCCCTAGCTGGCCAATAGCTACATCTGCCACTGGCTTAAAAGTCATAAATCATCCACAAAATAATAATATGACATGAAGCATTCAAAAGTCATCAATCATATGGATTTATGTAATTAACAATTAGTGACACTAGCACCCATAATCAAATCTCAATGAGCTAGGTTAGCAGGTACTTAAAGTGTTGAAGGAATTCGGGGAGCACCTAAGCATTGAGTTATGCAACCTTATTGTGAATTCACAGTCTCCACAAAATTAATAAACAAAAAATATGAAATTCATAGATTCCTTGTGGAATTAAACAACATGTAGCCTATGTTTTAAACAAATTAGGTAGAGAAAAATAATGGAAGATTTTTCAATAAGTGTAATATTTTTTGGAAAATAATAATAAGAAATTTGAACTCCTCTGTAATAATTATTCAGGTTACATTAGGCATTCAATTTCAGAACTTAAAGTACACCAATACATTAAAGGAACTTCCAAAATTTTCAAAATGTAGAATATGAGATACGAACTGAACCGATACAACCATGTCACATTGGAGGGTTGACTACATAGCCATCGATAACATATTTCTTTTGCTAAAATAATTTATAAGCCAATTATTGTAGCTATAAGAACACAAAGTAGACAAGAGAATAGAGTATATTTTACTTTTCACAGTCTTTTCCCGTTAGACGATTTACTTCAAGTACTTATTTGATGACAAAGGCTTTTTACATCTCTATCATCAAAATTCTCGAAGGTAAACTACTCCAATTCACACTATATATCTGAATTTGCCACTATACTAAGCAATATCATCATACACACAAATCACACAACAAGACTATAGATTGTTGGGAAAATTAGGTGATTTGTTTGTAAATAAACATATCAACTAAAAAATATAAATAGCATAATCAATTATTGCATAAATATAACAATATTATAACAATATAAGTATTATAATTCAACAATAAGAAAAGGGTTAGAATGCAAGCCTTAGAGAGTCATGTTAATGATATTTTCCTAAAGTCATGTTGCCTTCCCTTCGTGTGGGTACTTTGGACGCTACACGGCTCCAAGATAAAATCCTTGTGGCTCACAGCTAGTTCTCCTTCTATAAACATGACCATGGGTAGATAAGATGACGAGCCTCTTATCAAGTTGTCAAAATAGCATATTGTAAAAGTGTAGAGAAAATAATATTTCAAGTTATTGTATTCTAGTTCTCAAGCTTTCTTTTCATATTATATTTTCATCTCAGTGAAAACCATTCCCTTTTATAGGGATAAATTAAGTTTAACCATTCCCTTTTATAGGGATAAATTAAGTTTAACCATTCCCTTTTATAGGGATAAATTAA